CAAGCCAAGCACAATGTGCTAGTGTTTTGCTTCTACCTTTACAATATTGCACAAAGCTAGTAAAATGGCGAGTCAGTTTGCCATTAAAATTTTCATTTTCCCAGAAAGTCTAAAAAACATGTCAGTCTCCTTAGCCCTAAAGGGCATTATTCATGCGAAATGATCTGTAGCCTTCCATTTTCCATAAACTACATAATATGGTTTCACACTTGGCAAGACATAAGCTATAGAGAAATTCAAAGACAGTGGAGATTCTGTCAAAGTTGAAGTCAGAAGTCACTGCATATGGGTTGCATCACCTACCCCTCTTGGTTCACAAATGAAGGCAAATGCCACCTTGCGACGATGGAGACTTCTTAAAACCAACATAATTAGTATTGGGAAAATGTGTAATAACTTGTTACACCCTTTGATAGTTAACAACAGAACATGCAAGTAAAAACAAAAAAAAAACTCCCCAAATTTCCCTTGTTAAAACTGAATTCTACAACCAACACCCATACCCTTGTTTTCACCTAAACATCATTTTTCAAGGTCTTTTGGACACAGTAACAACTCCCAAATTGAGCCACTCTTAGTAGTACCTCAATTAAAACAAACAAAAAGCTTTCCCCTAACAATTAAAACAAATGACTGCTTTGAGATTTAGTGTGAAGTAACATTCACAAAATATTTAACAAGTCAACCTCGGAGGTATTTTCTGTACATGCCCCTTAAGGTGGCGTAATAAATGTGTTTGTAGAAGGGGGGAAACATTATAAATTTGGAATTCAATCAGTTAAATTCTACAAATGCCAAATTGCAGATTATTGTGGGCAAAACAGAAAATTTTAGAATAAACAGATCTTCAAAATAGCTCAATGGGCAAACATTTAATACATACACACACACTGAATCTAGATTCCCTCCCACCTTTAAAAAAACCTCTGTTTACATAACATGATAGTTTAGGCAGCAATATAAACTCATTTTGTAGGAAAAACTTTTAAATTACACTATATTTATAGGATAAAAAATACCATTGCTTCATTTTACAAAGCAATTAAGCAGAGACTCTTCTTAATGTGCTTTAACTAAAGCGCATTTTGCAGCAAAGTTCAGAAATGACTACTGAATTGTTCAGTAGCATGACATAAATGCAACATGCTCCAACAGTAAGGTGCTTTCATTGTCTCGCCCCTCTTCCATCTGAAATAAACCTTGCTGGTCAATCCTCTAACACTAAGCATAGTTATTTTTCTATGCTAAGCAATAAATGGGAAATAAAATCTGTTTAAAATGCAAATGCACATTTAATTTTATATTATCACTTATATTCAGTGCAAGAATTAGGCAAAACTTGGAAGGTTTCTGCTTTCATCACCAAATGGTTGCATCTTAACGTATCTGCGATAAGTATGAAATGTTTTACAGCTGTCCTTTTATTTTTTTATTTTTATTTTATTTTTTTACAAGTAACCTGGTAAAGTATGAAATTTCAACTCCCTGATAGGGCCTTTAAAGACCCAATAGTACTTTACACATTGGTATATGATGTTAAATTCATAATACTTCAATAATAAAGCTAAAAAAAAAAAAAAAAAAACTATTGTATTTAGGGAAAGAAAAGGCTTTCCTTAGGTTGAAAGCACTGGCTTAGGTTTATACAAACACACTCAGTGAATTTAATTTAAAAATGGAGTGTTACGGAATGTGTAAAATTAAATTGTGTAATTGTACACTGGTCCCATTCCAAATAGGATGCTGCCCATTAGTTTTTTGTTCCACTGATTCAAGATTTTTAATTCTTAGTGTCTGCAATGTCCATTAAGTATGCCTTACAATTTGCCACATCTTACAACAACATAAAGTAGCCACCACGCCATGTGTTAGCAAATATTGCTACACAGTTCAACTTTGTAGAAACAAGGATTTCCCCCCAACACCCACCCCCACTATACAGGGTAAGTGAAAGTGCTGAAAATTTCCTGTTTCCACCTTATGAAAAAGGCTCCACATTCCCTCTATTCCCACTATTACAGCTGGGTCCAAGAGTCTCATTAAAAATGCATCTTATAGAAATATTTCAGTTCCCCAATGAAGAACTACGGAATGATTGTTTTGATGCTACGTACAAACTAAGTAAGCCTATAAAATGTAAGCAAAACAATTGTTCATCTTTTAAAAATTCTCATTAGCCAGGATTTTCTTCATACTGCTACACTACAGATATCTAGGATTTTAATCATTAAGAATACCCTTTCTATGTGGGCCACACTGGTTATATACACCTAATTTTGGTTGCATTAGTAAGAGAAACATTTGAATTTAACATTCAAGTGTGCAGTAACGTTAATCTCAAAATATCCCAAACTTGTCATCTACTTGTTTCCCCTATTTTCAATATATTGCAGTTGAGACTAGATTGGTAAATTAACTTCTAAATTGATTCAGCATGACCAAGCAGCTGTTTGTGGATGAAGAAATGATATATTAACAGAAATATAACTGTCACATATTTTGAACCATAAGTAAAGTACAGGCTCGCCTGACGTCAACAGGCAAGTTTGGAAATGGAAATGTAGGCATCTGGAAGTAGCATGATAACTAAACATATACAAATTTAATATTAAGGCCAAAGGTACTCATTTTACTGGGGACAAGGAAAAAGGGAAACTTAACCATGCATACATAATTAACCTAGAGGTTCAAGTGGTAATTTTGATGAACAAGTAGACCCTAATTATTTGAAATTTAATATCTGAATAACTCCAATCGTTTGTGACTTAGTTTTCTGTAATTTTGTACAAGTAGGAAACTGGATCCTGACGGAGGGAAATGGGTGTGTTGAGAACCAGAGAACGAGCACAGCTGGCTGCCAGCCACCAAGACTCTGCTTTTTAACTGCATCTTCAGGAGTGTGAGGTAACCCTCGAGGAATGCTGTAATGGGATGGGCTGAGAGCTGTGCGTGCATCACTACAAGAGTTAACAGAGTTCTGTATATCCTCCATTATTTGCTGGAGACTTATTACAACATAGCTCAGGAAGACAGACTACAAGACCCTTGTATAAGTGAGCCTGTTTTATAATGGAATCCCAGCTGTAACACTAAATGGGTGGCAATTCCCTCTCAACATATAAAGGTTCCAGTGTTTTTTGTTAATTTTACACTATATCCTTCTGTATTTTTCTAAATTTGAATAAATGAAAAAAACTTGTTAGAAATAAGCATCCCAAAAACTGGATATATGAAATGTCGACACATGGTCACATAAAAATTGGACAGCATAAAACTGACACATGATTTTTTTAAAGGTTTGCAAATTTGCTTAAAATTTTTTCAAATATATTAACAATCTAATCACTCTTTGGGTTAAAGAAGCATGCTTTAATACATTAATATAGGATACCACCAACACCATCCCCTACCCTGTCTTGGGATGAAGTTTCTATGTTAGATCTGTATTTCTGATCTTTCCAAACAAGATGTGGGAATAGTGCTGGGACTAAAACAAATATATTATGAAAATGCTACACAGAAGCTCCTAGGCTCATCAATAAACACACTACCAACATTTAAACAAAAAGATTTTCTCTCGTATAACCTGCTGGCAGAAGATTTTCTCCATAATTGTTTTAAAGAAAATAACATTTTTAAATGACAAGGGTGTGAGCATTTCCTTTTTTCTCCAGGAATACCAAATTCATGTACATTGGAAGGCTTTTGCTGTAGTACTATTTTCTGGGTTTAGGCCAGAGAACTGCCTTATAAGAAATAAAGTTCTTTTTGGTATTTCAGTTCTTAACTCCCTCCATATGAAGGGCAAGATCTTACTTATTACTGCAGAATTACTCTCTACAGAGTACTATAAACTGGGTCCAACATATCTACCTTCATTCAAGCCCACAACGGTCCCTGCTGAAAATCCTTAATGGCCTCATTCATACAAATGTATCCTTTAAGGACTCAATTATAGCAAATATATCAGCACCTACAGCTACGTATATAAGTTTAAAATATTAGTGACAATAACAAAGGCTCTCTCCCAAAATTCTCAAAGCATTTCAAGCCAAGGTGACTTTTCTGCTTATCTACTCTATTGAGCACGTGCTTTTCACTGTGGAGCATAACATAAAAAATTAAGATGGTGGTTGATAAAAAGGGTTAACATCTGCATCCCTATTATTGAATCTTGATTTTTGATTCTCAATAGGAAAGTCATGTGAGTCATAGTAATCAAGCACTAGATCAAACAAAAAGACTAAAAATAGTTAGAAATATCAAATTACAAAGTATTGCTTCTCATAAACAAGGATGCAGCACATAAAACTCAAACTATTATAAATTCAGAATTATTAAAAGCAATTTAAAAGCATGGAAATTTTTACTTCAAAACTTTACAAAGTGTGAGACTGTGGCCTTCTAAAAATATGCCATGTTAAATGTATCATGTTGTGGTGAACACATTAATAGATGTATCTCCATTGTTGTGTGGCTTTTCAGATGTCATCATCTTTATGAAAATTCCTTTGGAGATAAGAAATGTGGAGATTTTAAGTGCATTTCCATCTGATTTTAATTCCTGACATATAGCTATCATGATAAACTTTTTCAGACTGTCACACTATTTATATAGCTGATATGGAAGAAGCTCTGTATTTTTAGATGACTTTCAGCACAGTGAAAGATGGCTCTCAAAGCAGTCCCAATACAGCTCACAGTAAATCTGTCAACCCAGTGTTCTTCCTAGCTTAACTGGCCACTATAAGGATGTAAACAGATAGACGGGAGGAGAAGGTGCATAAAAAAAACCTCCAGAAATCTCCAGAAGGCCTTTTTTTCATTGCAATCAGGAACATTGCACATCTAAAACTCATGTTAACCCACCACCTAATGGAACGACTGGAAAGTGATAACTTGCCAATTGTGCCTTTTTCACACCACTGAGTCAATATAGTTTGGATCTGATGTAATCCAGCTGTGGAAACAGGTGCTTAAGCTGTTGTGTTCCAAGGAATCAGAACCGATCTTCAACTGTAGGTATTTTTCTTCTTTTTGTTGCCTGTTGACAAAGAGAATAAATACAGTACATTTAAAGAAATAAATGACCTTTTAAAGATACTGTGTATATATGTTCCCTCATACCCTTTGCAATATCCTGGATGGAATACTGATGTTCTTTTCTTATAAATGGACATTTATACAGTATGCTGTATAGGAGAAACGTTCTTTTTAAAGGATAAGTTTGTATTCCTAAAGCAATAAAAATGAAAAATGATTTGAATACAGATTTTGATCAGTTAAAAGGTTGTTAGAGTAAAAGGAACAAAAATGAAAATGTATCTAACACTTTATGTCAAAACTATATACTAAAAAGGTAAATTCAAATCTAAAATATTTGCCCCATAAACTGACAGTAAAGTAAGAACTAGTAAATGGTATCCTTAAAATTCAATAGAGAGAATTTTTTTGTTATATTGACATTCAGAGGACAGGATTAACACTGATCTTTAAGTAGATATTTTACTAGGACTTTTTTATTCAAAAGTGTTGTGCTTGAGGTCTACGGCCTTACCCATGGCACAGGAGCATGTATATCAAAGACATACTTATCAGATAAAGGCTGACAGGCAAATGAATAAAAGTATCAACTTATTTTATTATAGTTCTACATTTTCTAATACTGTAGCTACCTACATGTAATGAGTACTTGCAATGTGGCTACTGTGACTACAAAACTGAATGTTTTAGTTTGATTTAAATTAAAAATCTGGAACAATATAAAGTATTTTTCAGTTACATACAATTTTACAATTTTGGTAGGACACTTCTCTTTAACCATTGAATACTTAGCATTTGAACTGAGATGTGCTACTATTAAGTACAAAATACACACTGGATTTTGAAGAGTTAGTACCTTAAAAAAGGAAAAAGAAAACTGTCAAATTTTTTCGTGTTGATTATATGTTGAAAGGTACTATTTTGGCTACATTGTGTCGAATAAAGTATTACTAAAATAAATTTTACGTGTTCCTTTTTGCTTTTAATGTGACTCTTAAAATTTTTTATATTAGATACGTGGCTCACATTATATTCTATTGAACCATGACGATGCTATACAGTTAGTAAGTTTAATAAGACGGATCCCACAGGAAACAAGTTAAAAAGTTTAAGTCTATATAATTACACACCATTTCATGTTTATGAATCTTGAAGGACACTGTTAACTATGGCTATCTCTCTCTCAGTTTCAGAGAAGAACCAAGGCACAACAGGGGACCTTCACTTCATTAAGTTTTGAGAAATCAGCTCTTTAAAAAAAAGAGTGTACTTACACTAATGATTTAAAATCTACAAGAAAGAAACCTATTAAATTACCAGCTAATACAAGTTACAGTACAAATTTTTTAGTCATTTACAGAGAGGTTTTCTGAAAGTTCAGGGTCTTTGAAAATTATTCTCCAAGATCACAAAGCAGTGATATGCAGCTCCTTTCTCACTGCCCGATCAGTGGCACTAGTCTACGGTTTGCTTCTGGTGTAGGATTCATCCAGTTCTTTAAGGCTGACTTTGCAGATGACCTGAGCTCATACATTATCTGGGAGTGTTTTGTCATTTCCCCTTCAACATTGTACCACACACAGCAGCCATCAACAATCAGTCCCCTACATCTCCAAAAAAGTTTTAAGCAATTTTCAAAGTGGTACACACCACGCACCATATTCTTAGCATCTGATACTAAGGCTTAATTAGCAGCCAGAAGCTATAAAAACATCCCAGCCACTTGAGTATACAAAATGCTGATTGCAGCGTCTGTCGTTAGGCAGGATCTGGTAGGATGGGAGGAGGAGACAGACAAAGACGGGCTGGCTTGGACAGCTGCTGGTGTGCTGTGACTGGGCCAATGCAGACCAGCTGTAATGAAAGAGCTAAACACACATTTATGTGAAGGCCCAGCTGTGGAATTAACCAATCAGTGCAAAAATGGTGAGTTTTAGGCACAGCCTTCAGCAGGTCCCTGACAGCTACAGCAGAAGAAGACAACACAACAAATAGCAAGAACTGTAAAGTGGGAGAAAATCTACAAATATTTATGGTGGAAAAGATTCCCAGTCAGACATATCTGAGTCTCTAGACAGTCACACATCGAGTAGACACACTGACACATTTACATCCCTCTACACGGCACAGTGGACATGTGTACAAGCAAAAAATGGCCTGAAATTATTTTGGGATCCAAATAAGTCATACAAATAGACTACAGTTAGGGCCTCTACAGATAATAGGAAAAATTGCTGTGACAGAACAGTAGAGACTGGGAAAACAAACAAAAAGATAACAGGGAAAAGGCAGGACAATGGTATTACTGAATGTTAGCTGAATTATATTAAATGTAACCACCATGTATCAAGAAAAATGCAATTTTTCATCCTTTTTGTTTAAGCTACTGATTGATGCAGGTGCTGATGGGGAGAGGCAGGGTGGAGAGTTGCAACAGGAACATTTTCCTGATGGTCCCTTGCTCAAAGGAACAGATGAAACTGCTTTTAGTAATATGTTATCTGATATAACCAAAATAGTATCTTTCAATATTTAAAAACCAACAGATTGAATTTTTTTTTTTTTATCTAAGTCTTCAAAATCGAAATGTGCCTGCATATGCATCAGATCTCCTCAGAATCCTTCAGTTAAGACCAGGAATCTGCATTTTTAATAAGCTCCCCAGGCTAATTCTTATGATCAGCCAGGTTTAAGAATCACTGTGCTAACAAATTATTTATTCCTTTACTAAATCCCTCCAGGACTAAAGTCTTCCCTCCTTTGGTGAATGTTTGAAGCCCACAGAAACATATTCCAAGAGAGCATAATAATTAATGGAACATATATGCATACTTTATATATTTTGCATAAATGACAACATTTCAGTTACAATCATGACCAATCCTATATATACTATCTAATGTGCAGCAGTGTTATCTTTACTGGTTCTATTTGTGCCACATTACTCTATAATTAGCTTATTAAAATGCACTGGATAACAACTGTCTATTACCTTAGGAGAATGTCACATGAGTAACCAAAGAGAATATTAATACACACAGGGGTGCTCTGTAAGATATGTATACAATTTTTATATATTTATTAATAACAGCTGCAAATTTATCTAAATAATACCGTAACTGTGATAGGTCTAAGTAGTTGTAAAGGTTTAGAAAGTTAAATAATCAAACAACACGATTTTTCCAGACTGATCACAGAAAACTCTTCTGTGGGCAAATAATAAGATGTCAAGGGCAGGCATGGTGGCTCACATTTGTTATCCCAGCACTTTGGGAGGCTAGGACAGAAGACATCAAAATTCAATACGCATAACCGTTTTAACTGAAATGCTTACTTAGAAAAGCCTTACTGAGTTTTTTGTTTTTTTTCAAATTGATCTTTTAAAAAATGTATGTATGTATGTATGTATGTATTCATTCATTCACTTTAGAGACACAGGTCTCACTATGTTGCCCAAGCTTGACTTGAACTCCTGGGCTGGCGGGATCCTCCTGCCTTGGCCTCCTGAGCAGCTGGGACTACAGGAGTGAGCCACCGCTCCCGGCAAGCCTTACCCATTTTCTAAGCAAGAATAAGACTGTTACTTTACTTGGGATATAGCTGTATGGCAGAAATTTTTAATGAAAAGGATATTAATACACAGCATTCACACAGCAATAGTCCTTTTCAAGTTATCATTAAGTTTCCAGAAAAGTGTTACCTTCAATTTCTACCTGAAGTTTACTTTTTTTTTTTTTTTTTTTGAGACAGTCTCACTCTATCACCCTGAGAGAGTGCAGTGGCGTCATCGTAGCTCTGCAACCTCAAACTCCTGGACTCGAGCAATCACCCTGCTTCAGCCTCCCAAGTAGCTGGGACTACAGGCACGTGCCACCATGCCCGGCTAATTTTTCTATTTTTAGTAGAGATGGGGTCTCACTCTTGCTCAGGCTGGTCTCAAACTCCTGAGATCAAATGATCCTCTTGCCTCAGCTTTCCCAGAGTGCTAGGATTACAGGTGTGAACCACTGCATCTAGACATGAAGTTTACAAATTTATGATTCATGCTAAATTAAGCTGTATATTCCCAGTTTCTCTGGCTGTCTAAAAACTACAATAAAATTGAGCTGCATAATAAACAATAAGCCTCAGAACTCAATAAAAATGCCAGACCCCATCATCCAATATAAAAGCTGTATTACTGAAGGCTACTAAAAAGACAATAAGGCCATTTACTTGTTAGTTCTCCCAGTCTGTGCAAGGCAAAGCCTCCTCTTCATCCTCTGACTCGGGGGATGCTTCTTTAATTCTTCTAAGAGCTTCATGGATGCTGCGTGTGAGAGGGTCTGTATCGGGCAGAAGTGTGAATGATTCTCTCAACACCTCTTTCTGTACCTTCTTCAATTTTACCCCTTTTCTTATCTGTGCCAAGATATTATTACTATCATCTTCATCAGGAAAAGGAGGCAGAGTTCGCTGTTCAACCTTTTTCAGGTGAAAACTACCACGCTTCAAGGAAGCTAGCACCTCATCCATGGGTGAGCTCACTTTGGAAAATGAAACAGAACAATTAGAGTTAGTTTGCACTTACAGTCAAACTGTATAACCTATAGTGTTTTGTCTAGGAAAGCACAGGACACCAAAACATCACCTACAAAATGGATCGTGAAGTGTGGGCAAGTGGCCAGAGCAGAAGGGATCCTGATTAACCTTGCTAAAAAAAAATCCCAAGACTCCAATTCCATGGAAGGTATTGTTGGTAATTCCCATCATTTCCCATGGGAGAGAAGTGAGCAGATTGAGAGCTGGAAGGTGGTCTTAGTAATACCACGAGCGAGAGTCCTAAAGGATTTCCATATTGTACGTGCCCAATCCAAATTCAGACAGTGATTGGGTTATATGTTTCATTTTTAAAGATTAAATTTTAGTTCATCGTGGTGGCTGTGCACTTGTCAGTTGTTTTACATGTGCAATTTTACTCAGATTGTGGTAAGAATTATTTGACAGAAAGGCATCTCAGATTAAAATGTAATATGCAAATTGTCATATGTGCTTCCCATGCAAACTGAAAGCTCCTAAAAGGAAAGAATTATTCTCTGTTCTTTCCAGAAATAACTTTATTGAGGCATATCTGACATGCAGTAAATTACACCAATTACTCCCTATTCTTCTTTCTCTCTTTATACAAAGAATGTATTTGGACAAAAGTCCTCAACAAACATGTGACCAAATGTTACAAGATCCTGCCAATGTCTTCCCTGTGTGACGGTCCTGACCTTACCCTTTCTGGGGTAAGTATTTTTCTTTTCTCTTAGGATTAAAATCTGATTTCCCCCTAATACAAAAGGAGCCACTCACTATGCATTACCAAACAGATAAATATAACTTTGAAGGTACATTTTTAAAACATGCCTAACAGCTCAAGAAGGTATACATTTCTGTATACCTATACACATTTGCTGATGGGGGTTGGTAAGAATTCTCCTTGGTTGAGACCTTGAAACCCTGTTTACTATCAAATAACATTCAAAACTAAAATAATGCTTTAAGCTTTATATGGTCATATGAACTATAAAGTTTTTTCATTATTCCTAATTTCCTACAGCAGATGGGACATGAAAATATCTTTTTAACTTACCTCTCCTCCTTTGCAAACCTTCAGCTGTCTTTCTGAGCTTCTTCCGGGCACTGACCAGCTGGCTGCTGTCAAAGAGGTGTGCTGAAGGGGCACTGGCAGACTTTGGGATCCTCTTCTCAGTCCCCTCCTTTCTAGGCAGATCTTTCTCCAGTGTCTCTGGGGCACTGTCCTTAGCAACAGGTAGAGGTGGGGGCGGTGGGGGAGGAGGTGGCGGCGGGGGAGGAGGTGGCGTTGGAGGACGAGGTGGTGGGAGTGGATCTATGGTAACAGAACATGGTTCAAGGTTGTTATTCATAAGTGGAAGAGATACAGTGGGAGGCAGTTCAGAGGTAACACCACTGAGAGGTAATGAAGTGGCTTCAAGTTGTGCTAATGAGGAGTCTTCAAGTTGTGCAAGGCTCTGGGGTTTTGTTGTCTGTGGTGACCCAAGCTTGCTTCTTCCTTCTCCGACTTCGTCAGTTTTCTCTTCTACTTGTAACACTCCTGGTAGAGAGTCACACTGATCCTCGCGGGGAACAGGACTTAATACACTTTTTCTTCTTGCATGAGTCAGTCGTAATCTGGTTGATTTAAGTATAACTTGCCCAGGATACCTCTAAAATACCAGAAGATATCATAACAATTTGTAAGCAAATGCCTATTTATTTTTCCTTTAAATGAAAGATGTTTTTGTATCTTTTTGGTGATTTTCACTCTAAAATAATGTTATACAGAAAAACAGAAGATGCCTAGTACCTTTCAAACAATTATGAACCCTTTTATTACTTGCCTATCAAAACCATTAAGGCCTTATCCTGCTCTACTCTACTGAAGAAGTCAATTGTTCAAAATTATCACATGATTAAAAAAGATTTTCAAAGAAAAACTGATTTAAAAATAAAAAATAAATAGCATGTAAAATACAAAATATAATGTCAAATACATGCTACTGGTATGTAAAAAGCTAAGAAACTATTATTTCTCTATATATTTATTGTTAGATGCTGACAGGTGACAAAATTAAAACATTAATAAACAGCTTACCTGGCATTTTTAAAAAGCTCCTATAACATCATATGCCTTTTATAATAGAATCAAGGAGAAGTAATGAGATTTTTTGGAGTGCAGATATAAAGAACTCTCATTTTGTATCTGTTACTATAGTAAAACCTAATATTAACATCATTGGCTAGACAACATTTACGTAACGCAATACAAGGGTTATCTTTGTGTTAAGGATGCCCTCTCCCCCATCCCCTTTTTCTCACTAAAAGGACTTGATCAAAAACCCCCTTCACCTCTAAGGTGGTCCTCAGCATGAACAACTGAAGTCAGTCTCCAGAGCACTTTAACAAGTAGACCCATTAAACTTAAGCACAGTTCTGAGGAGATGTTTAGATGCTGTGAAATCAGTGTCCAGAGTCATGGGTGAGCCTAGCAAGAGAACTGCTCAAGCATTTTGCATATATGTAGACCTACCCTCTAATTCTGCCAATCGTCACTTCCATGTATTACCACCATAGGTTGATGGATGTGGAATAAATAACAAGTTGATGCTTGAGGTGGATGGTTGGTTATGAATTAACTATGTTTTGTAAACTTAAGAGGAATCCAAGCTTTCAGAAACCCTGATCATTCCTCTCATACTAAAGCTATGAGCCAAGGGTCACAAGAATACTAATTCTGGAAACAAAGAGAGGAAAGAGAGCCATACAATCAAAATGATTTTTAAAATGACTTGCCATGGTTGTAAGATTTTCTAAATAAAAAAGGAAAAACCAAGTTTTTAATCATAAAAAGAAATCCCACAAGCATGTATTACAAGTTATGTTTTAAATGAAAAATAATAAAGGGAACATACTTTTATTACCTGTTTAAACGTTCTAAGTCTATCCAGCGTTCTCTGTCTCTCTTGGCTAACCCAGGCACTTTTTCTTTCTTCTTCATCATGTAATTTTTCTCTTTTCTGGTAAAAAATTAATAATAATTCCTTTATGATGTGTCTCATTCATTTCTATCATTAATAGGGAAAGAAGATGAGAAATTCTACCAATGCATAAAATGGATGGCTCAAGAGAATGATTCACTGAACAAAATGTTTTACTGCATGAAACACTGCATGTTTTTAATGTAAATAATTGTTTTAACATTCACACTAATACGGTGACAAAATATTCATTTTCCTACATGTACTCCCAATTAAAGTACTCTGAGTACATGTACTGCATTAGGTAAAATAAAAAATGTTTTATCTTTGGGGTTCTGGCTTAAACAATTTTAGCATAAAATACTTCTAAGTGCTATATTCTGATAACTCAAATATAGTTGACTTTGTAGTTAGAAAGAATATATTTTGTGCATTATCCATGAGTCATCTGGTTTAATACCACACCTTATGTTAATAGTTGGGCAATTATCTATATAGGAATTTTAAATTTTTCCCATATTGTTGAATCATCTAAAAGCTGTATAATAAACTCTCATTTAGCAAAATAAATGAAAACCCTTTCTGTACAGATGAATGAGTTATTGCTTTACTTTCCTGCTTTGTTTTAAAAATTTGAGATACCTCCCATAAGACCAGCTTATTTCACATGGAAAATAACCACTCTTCCATTGTTCTGTCCTTGTCAAATTTAATCCTCCATTATATTCTATCACCCCTCTCCTCTTTCCCACCAGCTTTCCCCAGGAAAATGTAATTTCTAATGAGAATTTCTGCTACATTTGCCTTGAATGATTATATCAAAGTGTGAGAAGATAAAGACATCTCCTACTTTCCTCTGATTCCTTAAAAATGTGAGGGGGGAGATAGATAAGGGTGAGCTATAGATACGAGGAAATTGAAAAATAAAGGTATGTGATATGTAAATTATTTTGAATACAATGTAATTTTATAACATGATACTTATCTACACATAAGGACACAAAAGCACACCATATATGACCACATTTCAAAATAGCTCTTAGTCAGAGCCGGAAATAAATTAGCATGTACCCAAAGTAAGAGACATAGGTTTAAAAAACAGGTTGAACATCCCTCATCTGAAATTCTCCAAAATCCAAAACTATTTGAGCAGACATAACTGCACAAGAGGAAAATTTCACACTTGACCTTGGCTATGTGTATAAAGTATATATGAAACATAAATAAATTTCATGTTTACTCTTGGGTCCCATCCCCAAGATATATCATTATAAATGTGAAAATATTCCAAAATCTGGGGAAAAAAAAATCTGAAATCTGAAATACTTCTGGTACCAAGCAGGGATACTCAACCTGTACATTAATAAAAATGGAAAACGTTTCCAAGGCAATGATATTATCATTCTTTGGGTCATTTACATGAACTACCATTAGAAGAATTATTAAATTCAATGCCCATAAAGTATGTGTAGGGGATCTTATAATTAAAAGATAGTTGAATAAAGGCAGTCTTGACTCTTCTTTCCTTCTCTGACTCCAACTGAAACAAAGCAAATTAGACAAGAAAATGCTATCTCTATTCAAAGAACACGAGATGGTATCAACCTGAAGCCATACATTATGATAAATACCTGCCATATGTAAGAAAATTGACCAAAATGAGAAAGAGTATTAAGAGTCATCTTCAGACCTTAATGTAAGAGAGTTCTCTAAAAAATAAATGTCATTGTCTTGAAAAACCCATTCACTGCTATTAATCAGCAATAAAACTGGGGAACATAAGCAAGACACAGGAGAAGCTAAGAATGTTCCTCTAAATATCTGATTCCTTATCATAAATAGTGCAGTAGATATAGCTGAAGGGGGAGGAACAAGATAAAAAATAGTATCTTTACTTTCAAGGTAGGGAAAGGGTAAGGTAGGGAAAAGGAAAAAGGGTATGCAACAATCTCAACAGAGATAGCCTATGACACAAGGGCTTTCCACAAATCACACAGGGACCCACATGGGCCTCATGATATCTATGGGGCACAGAGGTAGCTTCCCTCTGTCCCATTCCAAGATAAGAAACAATTAAAAAGGAAATGGCATTGGCTGGGGGAGGCCTACACATTCATATTTGGTGGTGGGAGGGTGGCAGCTATTACATGAAAACCACAATAGAAGCGAGATACGCCTGAAAGCAGGTCCTGTAAGACGGCCTTGAAGACATCACAAGAAACAAAACGGAAAAAAACAAAAAGACAAAGCTTAATTAGCTTTAGAAGAAAATGTCAGAAAAAATATCTGATGTAAGTATCATTGGTATTCTTTAAATGGAGACCCTCACAGATTCAGGAAGCTTTCAGGGTATCCAATTATTTTTACATTGTGAAGATTCATAGCATACTGGGAGGTGGAGGAAAAGGGAATTGGGAGAAAGCGTAAGGGCAATAATTTCGTCCTCTTTCATAGTACGAGTGTAAGGTTGAAATAATCTTAAAAATTATTATCCTAATACTCAATGTTTTTCCAAATGTTCTTGTCAAGAAATTATGTAAATTCCAGTAGTTCTTTCAGATTCAAGTACTCCTGTTAAAAGTCAAATGGATTTCGGCATTGATTTCTTTCTTTGTAACTTTTTCCTGTGTTGTTTTAATCTTTTATAATGATAATGCATCTTTTCGTAAACACAGTAGAGGGGTTTTTTAAATAAGAAATGGTTGAGAAACTATTTTGCAAGCCACTAATTAAAACTGTTCATAATAGAAGGACTTTAAAATTTGATGTTAAGAAATGTTTAGGATATGTTCCTAACATCTAATGTGTAATCAAAATTTGTATGTAGACATCAAGATATAATTTATTCAAGGAAAATGACCCTGCTTGGATAATAGGAATAACTTAGAAACATTAAGTAAAATCAAGAAAACTTTTTAAGATCCTAAAGTAGAAAAAGTCAAAAGGTATATTAAAATATCATCTAAGACAGCAAAATGGCAGGGAAAAGTCTGCTTAAGATAAAGACATTTCCATTCTTTCATCAAACACTTACTGATTAGCAGTCCAACCAGGCACTATATTACACACAAGGAAAAAAAGCGGATGTCCAAGTGGAGATGGGGAGAAGTAGGCATGTTTAACAGACATGGGGTTTAGTGTTGTCAAGCGCCCTGATGGAGGAGGGGAGAAAGAGTTCAAGTTTTCTAACTTGGCCAACACTAGGTGAATGGTGGTACCAGTAATCCAGAGTGGGAGTTCAAGAGGAAAGTGATCTGGGAATGGGGAGAAGAATCAATCTAATGAGGTATTAATTCACACACTTAACTTGGAACTGTGGCAAGAAGGAAATGTTTCAGTAATAGTAGACACTATCTTCAGAACATCAGGCTTAATCCATATATAAATATGTTTCTTGAGAAACTGTGCAGCCAGACACTGTAGGAAGTTAGGATGGGGGGAAAAAAAAAAACAAACCCAGTGTCAAGGACTAAAGTGAAATTCCTGACAGGAGGATGAAGAGTGGTAGTAGTGTTTTATTAACCATATGGGTGACTGATCTGTAGTCACTGATCAGGGAATGCCTTGAAGAGTGCCAGGATAGTTGACCTGTTCCCTAAAGGTATGTAATTATCACCCACAACAGAGATCAGTTCCACTTTAACTCTTGGTCAGATCATTTGGACATAGATTAGCTCCGTTGATTTATGACTAGGGGGGCAAGGAGTTTTAAGTAAGCAAAGAAGAATGTTCTTGTAGCTCTTCCTTTTACAAAAAGCCAGAAAGACCTTTTGTCTTTAGAGAGTTCTAAAAGTGGGTGGTAAGAATTCTCAAAGACCACTTATTACTAGATACAAAGTCAGGCATCTTTTCAATAATATTAATAGTTCCAGATGACTGAAGACTTGCTAAATAATCATAATGTTTCCCAGATGGGAAAACCGAAAGCAGTTATGACCTAAGCTCTGCATTGAAAGCAGATACATCGTTTCCATATGAATTCTCACTTTAGAAACCAAAGCCCAGAATGGCTCAAGGTCATATTGAGACAAGAATATACCCCACTTCTTAACCTACTCCATGCTCATCTCTGTTCACATAGCTGCAACGTCCAACTCTCCAACCTGGATGAGTCAGCAAAAGAAAGGAACTTTTAAAACCTCATGTGTGCCTCCCATACCTACCTGGAATAGGGAATAAGCTTGCGGCCTCCCACACATCCAGACACATGGCATGAATGTGCAAGGGGACAGAGACTTTCTAAGGCCTTTAGAGCAGCACTAACTCCAGAGGTAAATCAATTTTTCTATATTTAAAAGGATTTTGTTCAATGGATGGTAGTACTCAGTTGTTGAGAAAAAACATTAGTTATCTAAGAGATACTTAGAGTTTTAAGTTGTGAACATGCATGTATAAAAAGTTGGATATGGAATGCAGAGATAAATTAACTGACTAATCATACTGCTATTCCATCAGCTGGTATATACAACATCAGGTCTTATTACAATCTAAAAGACCCCAGATGAAGAGAGAAGGGGAAAGTTTCAAATTTCTGAGACATGAACTGATGAGATTGTGTGGGGAAGTAGAATGCTTACAGAACATAGTATTATATAGTATTATGCTTAAGCGTATAGCCAGTAATAGGCAGGCCTGGGTCAAATACCTCGTCCCCTCTTCACTACAACTATGGGAAAGCCACTTAATGGCTCTGTAAAATGAAGTTAACTTACCTAAGGAGGGGCTGGAAGGGTAACTGGGGGATGGGAACACCTATCACAGCATGGAGGAAGTAGGCAGTACTAAAAGAAGCAATTGTGAGCAACATAAAAAGTTCTCAAAGATTCCATATGTTACATCTTAAAAGTATCCCATGTGTGCTTTCTTGAAGTGAATGCCATGAGTTATGAGTGTCGTTACCAAAAAAAAAACCAAACAAACAACCAAAAAAAAAGGTGGCATTTTTAATGGGGAAAATTTACTTGTTGCCTGACCACAATTTTCTTCTCTTATACAATTTGTCTCCAAGCTAGTAACAATAAAAAAGTGGTATTAATAAATGAGTAATTTTCCTGTTTTTGGAGTTTACTATCAAATATTAAAATAAACTTCCTTGGTTTTACTTATTTATTAATTTTAGAGATGGAGGCCAGGTAGGATGGCTCACGCCTATAATCCTAGCACTCTGGGAGGCCAAAGTTGGAGGATCACTTGAGGTCAGGAGTTTGAGACCAGCCTGACCAAGAGCGAGACCCCATCTCTACTAAAAATAGAAAAATTAGCCAGCCGTGGTGGTACGCTCCTATAGTCCCAGCTACTCAGGAGGGTCACTTGAGCCCAGGAGTTTGAGGTTGCTGTGAGCTAGGCTAATGCCACGGCACTCTAGTCTGGGCGACAGAGCAAGATTCTGTCTCCAAAAAAAAAGTAAGAAATAAAAAATAAATTTTTTAAAGATGGAATCTTTCTCTGTTGCCCAGGCTGGAGTGCAGTGGTACAATCACTGCTCACTGTAACCTCGAACTCCTGAGCTCAAGGGATCCTCCTGCGTCAGCCTCCTTGGCCTTAGTCTTACATATTTAACTTTGCAAGGATTTCCAGGGAAAATTGTTGACAAAATAAGGTTAATATCTAGGGATTACTTTTTCTTTCCTTTAATTAGAGAAAGAGTCTCTGTCACCCAGGCTAGAGTGCAGTGGCCCAATCATAGCTCACTGCAGCCTTGAACTCCTGAGCTCAAGAGATCTTCCTGCCTCAGCCTCCCAAAGTACTGGGATAATGGGCATGAGCCATTGTACCTGGCCTCTAAGGATTATATTTTTAAAAAATTCCACCACTTGAGATTCTAATAAAGGTGGTTTAAAACTACATTTGAAATACAATAATCTCTTTTGATCTAAGCCAACTTTCATTTTACTTTAGGTATGCATGTTAAAGATGACTATTTAGTTAATGGATTCATTCTCTGCTAATTAGATATTCTGATCCAGGCTGGCATTAGGCAAAATTCTAAAGCACATGATGTTTATTTTTGAGATTTCCTCAAGTATCGATTTCCTCATTTTTATCCCTCTTTGCCCCAAAAAACATTTTTAAAAGGATCTGATATTGGTTCTAAAATGTAATTAGTTACTTCCTCCACCAAACCATTAGCACTTTGTCAAGACTCAAAATCTTCATGCAAAAGTGTGGAAACTTAATAACCAAGCTGATAATGCAGGTATAGATGGTGATAATAGGGAGTATCTTTATTCACCTCACTCATGCTGGCCCCTTTACTAATCTTGTAAAGCAGTTTCTGACCTACGGAAACAGTAATGAAAAACAAAAGTACGTTCATTAATCTGCTATTTCCAGCTTCTAGGAGAAAGGTAATCTTATATTTTATAGGTAACTTGGCTAATTTTATTTGTTTAAAATCAAGGGTAAGGGGTAGCTTTAGCTAAAAAATGTGCCAAAATGAACTTAAGGGGTTATGTAGACAAACTTTAGCCCTTTAGTCTGACACTAATGAAAGAAAATTTTTAAAATAAGCAAATACAGAGATATGGTCATGTTGGGTTTTTTTTTTTTTTTTTTTGAGACAGAGTCTTGCTCTGTCACCCAGGCTAGAGTACAGTGGCATCAGCCTAGTTCACAGCAACTTCAAACTCCTGGGCTCAAGTGATCCTCCCGCCTCAGCCTCCCAAATAGCTGGGCCTACAGGCATACCACCACAGCCATTTAATTTATTTTTGATAGAGACAGGGTCTCACTCTTGTTCAGGATGGTCTAGAACTCCTGGCCTCAAGCAATCGTCCTGCCTCAGCCTCCCAGAGTACTAGGATTACAGGTGTGAGCCACTGCATCTGGCCATGTTGACATTTTCGATATTTAATTGAATATAGATCATTTGTGTTGATTAGTTTAAGACATGTGTCTGAGAAGGCTATCAGGATAATATTCTGTAGGCATGATAAGCACAGCAATACTGGCAGTGTGGAAAGGTTTCTAATGTAATTTCATGTAGAGTAAACTAACACTTTTCAGTAAACCAGAAAGAGATATGGAACTTCCTCTATGTGATAAAGAGCATGTACCAAAAAACTTACAGATAACATCATACTTAATGGTGAGAAACTTATTCCTGCTAAGATCAGGAACAAGGCAAAGCTTACCACTCCTTTTCAACATTTTGGAAGTCCTAGCTAATGCAATAAGATAAGAAAAGAAGATGAAAAGGTATACAGATTGGGAAGGAAAAAATAAAACTGTCTCTGTTTGCACATAACAGATGCAGAAAATCTAAAAAAGAAAAAAAAATTAACATTAAAAAATCCTGGAATATGTGATTATACCAAGGTTGATACACAAAAGTCAATTGTTTTCTAATATACTAGCAATGAATAATTGGAGTTTGAACTTAAAAACATAATACTATCTACATTAGCACCCTACAAAAGAAGAAATATTTAAATATAAATCTAACAAAATATGTACAAAATCTACATGAGGAAAATTATAAAACTCTGATGAAAGAAACCAAAGAATTAAATAAATGGAAATATATTCCTTGTTTGTAGATAGGAAGACTCAATACTGTTAAGATGTTAGGTTTTCCCAACTTGACCTATAAATTCAATGCTACCTCAATCAAAATCCCAGCAAATTTTTCGTAACTACAAACAAGAGGCAAAAAAGACCTAGATCAACGGAACAAAATAGAACAACCCAAAATAAACCAGATAGACTCATCTTTGACAAAGGAGCAAAGGCAATTCAATGGAGAAAGGGTCATCTTTTAAATAAATGGTACTGGAACAACAGGACATCCACATGCAAAAAAAAATTTAAAAGTCTGACACAGACCTTATATCCTTCATAAAAAATAACCCAAAATGGACCATAGACCTAAATATAAAATGCAAAACTACAAAACTCCTAAAAGATAATATAGCAAAAAATCTTTTCCAGATGCATGCTAAGAAAAAAAAAAAAACCAGAAAATCTACATGACTTTGAGTTGGGCAATGACTTTTTAAATATCAAAGGTATAATCCATGAAAGAAAAACTGGTAAGTTGGACTTGGACCAACATCTTCACCAAAGAAAATATACAAGTAGCAAACAATCATATAAAAGGATGTGCCATATCATTTGTCATCAGGAATATGCAAATTAAAGCAACAATGAGATACCAGTATACACCTATCAGAATGACTAAAATTCAAAACCTTGACAAGAGCAAATGCTGGAGAGGATGTGGAACCACCTGACCTCTCATTCATTACAGGCGGGAATGACAAGTGGTACAGTGGCTTTGGAAGACAGTTTGGCATTTTCTCACAAAACTAAATATATAT